GCATATTCCGGTGTTGGTGTGTCTTCATCTTCATCTTTCTAAAAAAATGAATTAACTATTAATATACAATAAATCACAACAATCATGTCAAACAGCAAATTCATGCATTTCGTTTTTTTTCGATATTACCTCAAAAACTAACTCTAGAGAAAATTGATACACATATATATTTTTTGTTTTTTGAAAAAAATGAAATAATAGAGTAATAATATACCTCAGGAATCGATATCTGATGTGTTTGAAAAAATGGTTCAATGGTTTGCGGATGTGGTAATGGTCGATTAGTTTCACCTGTAGCTAAAAGTAAATAAGTTATTTTCAATGAAAATAAATTATGAAATAAGTTTAATAAGCAAGTTAAAATGAAGAAGTAGCATCAACTGACATTTAGCTATCACCTGAATTAAAATAATCCTCTGTAAATATATATACACATATATACGAATGAATAATTTAAAAAATTAATTTTAACTTACAAATATTGAGACTTTTTGACATTCGTTTGCTTAATGATCGTTCAAAATCAGGATTAGGTCTGTCAAGTAATAATTGTCGAGTTTGATGATATGTATATGTTCCTGTGTAACGAAATGTTGAATTAAATCTTGGTAAGACAGGTCGTTTGCGAATTTCTTCTGGTCGACGAAGTCTTTAATGAAAAAATAAATATTTATTCATCTCGATCAGATCAACTTCAAAACTAACGTTAGTCTTTACACATTTATCCTTAAGACTGAAAGAAAAACTAATTATTTTAAAGAAAATCATACCGAAAAAAAGCATGATGTTCAACAGCAATTTTCCATAGAGCTTTCGCTGCACGATATGTTGGTAGTTTAAAACCAATAGTACTTTCGTATCGATCAAACTAAAGAATATCATTTTTTTCGATTAGTAATTAATTATTAAATAGAAAAATACGTACATCACTTGGTCGTAGTTTAATAAAAAAGTATTTTCGTTTATAAGATATTTTTAATATTTTCGGCCAGGCAAAACGATTTATACGTAATTTGTCACGATAAATTAATATTCCATTAGCTGAAACACCAATATTAATATCAACATTTTCCGAATCCTAGAATTTATTGAATCGATAAATTATATTTACAATTAAAAATATATATAACATACTTCTGCAGAATGAATGTCAACACCATACATAGCTAATTTTTTTGCATTTTCAAGAAAATGTAAATCAGCTGCATTGGGTGGTTGTCCTCTACAAGTAAAAATAATAAAATAAAACTTAAGAAAAAAACAAACAAACTCATACTTATGTCGTCTATGTTGTTCATGAATACGTTTTAATAATTCATCATCTTGTACAGGCGCAAATTGAAGATCTTTAAGATAATCATATGTTATTCCATGATCCGATTCACTATAATCTCCTAATTCAGCCTGAGCTGTATATGAACCCAATAGAGCATAAGTAACAAATGAGCAAGGTAATCTATAAATAAGTAAAAAAAAGTAATTACTAATATTTATAATAATATAATATGTACTTACTTTCCGGAAAGAATATCTTGTCGAAGTTGAAGACATAATTGATATCTATAAAAATATTTTATAAAGAATAAATCTAAATAGCTTAACCCTCTAACGGGTGCATTTTGAATGAGCAATTTTTTTCGTATAGAATTATAGCTATGATGCAGATTATTAGGGTATGGGTGCGGCTGTGTCTGTGACTCTGGGTGTTACCATGGTATCTGCATCCACACCTTCATGGATATATTCAATCTATGCTGTACCATAGTATTTTATATCAAAATAACTATCCTCACTTCACCGTAACCCTATGATCGCAAAGAAAAAAAAGTGATACATATATGTTCCACCGCCCGTTAAAGGGTTAATATATGGATTCTATCTAATCATTCGACTAGAGATCGTATGTGTAGAATTTATTCTCATTTTACTGATTTGGATTTTTTGTCACCCATCAATTCGGTACTAGTTGATAAAAAAACAACAAGGACGTACCGATGGCAGAGGAGGCGCAGCAAAAATTGTTGTTTAAATTTAACACGAAAAAAACCTTTTTCGATTTTACAATTTTTCCAAAGCAGGGGGGGCGTTACACCTCTGCTAAACAATTTAAATATGAAATATTTCCCTTGGTAAAATTACGTTACTCTCAAAAAAGAACAAGTGCAGCTGTCAACTAGTATTGATTCGTTTCCTCCTTCTTTTTTTTGTCATAAAAAATACTAACCTCGTAATATCTTCTTGAAGTAAAATTGGTTCTGGTGGATAAAATTTAACTTGTAAATAAAATATTGCATGAATACCTAGAGAAAATATTTTTCCATCGAATTTCTTAAACAATAAAATCTTACCTTTCAATTGGCTTTTAACATATTTATCATTATTAAGCCAACACTAAATATATGAATACAATTATACACTAATATTTATTTTAATTCTAACATACTTTATTATTTTCATTATCAATAAAATTTAAACCGAAATAATCCTTTTCTTCTAAACGTATTAAATCACATACACGAGTATATAACATTTTACCCGTATCCTCTTTCTAAAATACAAAAAAAGATGTTCTATTTAAAAAAAAGGAATCAATTTCTGTATATATACATTCAAAGCAACATATTCTTCAGTATCATCTAATAAAATAATTCGTGCTTTAGATTTCTGAACAGGTTGCATATTGATTATTTTTTTGTTCGATTGAGATTGTTGTTCTTTTTCTTTCTAAATTTATAAAACAAAAAAATCTTTTGTTTTTTTTCTAAATTATTTTCTATACTTTTTTCTTCAATTTTTTTGTTTCTTTATTATTTTCAATGATAGGTTGAGAAATATGATTATCATCATATTTTAATGAACTATTTAATCGATCTATATCAAAATTATCTATATCATTCATTGATCCAAGTTGAAGCTAAATATAAAAATATTGATTTAATTCTCTTTGTTTTTCGCAATATCTTACATTCGGAATTCCTTGATTAATTGATTGAACGAATTCAGTCATTTTAATATATCGATTGAACTTATAATGATGAATTTACTCAATTAAATTAATCTATCGGTCAATAAATCGATTACCAATAGATTTTCATTTTTTAAATCTTTATTCTTATTATAAAAAGATTTGAGCAAAAAAAATTTTTTTTCTTCAATATTATTTATTCATTATTCAATGTTATTTATAATATGAACTTATGGATCAAATAGAGGTCACTAGAGGGCAAATCATTTTTCTGCTAGATGAATTTGCCTTATAGATAGAAAGTCGATTACTTGACTTAATAGAATATTTATCGATTTCATTTTACAATCATGATGATTACGCTTGATACAATCGCCTAAAACAAAACTGAATACGCCTACATATTATTTCGTATAGCCAGGTTTTTTCTCTCTCTCTATCTAACGTTTATTTGCAACATATATTAAGATAAGTACACTTGTATATTTTCTCAATCAACTTTATACTATATTTTGATTTGTTATTCAAATATAAATAATCTTCTTACATTATTAGAAGACGAAACTATCACTTAAGTATAATCTTTGAATAGTAATATGCGGAACAAAATTATATAGTCAAAGAGGAAATTTAAGTAATCGAAATCTTCTTTTAAGAATGAGTTATTATTTTATAAGAGTATGCTTAATAAAGACTGAATATTTTATCGGACTTATGATGAGTCTGTTATTAGTATTAGTATAGAAAGAAGAGTTTTCAAAACATTTTTGTATACATTAATGAATATTTTTTCTTTTACAAGATCCGAAAAACTCAGCTGTTTACAGAAATGTTTATCTATTTATTCCTCTCATTATTAATTTTACCCTTATTCAATGCTGAACAGCATCAGACGAAACTTGAAAATAATAATGAATGGTTTTTACAACGTTCAGGAGCTGCCAATTATTTATGTATGTAGAATATTTTGAATTCTATAGATATTTATTTCTTTTTTTAAGCTGGTTTGCCAATAAGACGATTTCAACAACAATTGGTACATCCAACAGTTGATAGTTCATCGTTTTTATCAGCATCAGATAGTGATGATCAACAACAACAACGTGGAAAACGGATCTATTGGGAGAATCTTGCATTTCAACCAGCTGATTATAATCACAAATCGAAAAATCCTAAAAGGTCTAAATAAATACTGACCTTGTTCTTCTTCTTCTTTCTTTTAATGTTGTCATGAAATACATAAGAACTTATTAAAATCATCTTAAATTATATAATTTTTTTCCAAAAATATATATGAAATATTTTAATAAAGACGTTAATTCCGCAAAACTATTTTGTTGATATCAAATATATATTATGAAAAAGTTTCGTAACTAATCATTTTTAACGAACTTGCTGAAAATTTCATCTAAATCATTTTTTATTACATACAAATAATTGTAATTGCATTCAGTCAATATGTAAAGTAGTTGATACATAATTTACGTCAGAAATAATGTGCCTTTTACAATCATGTATATGCCCTTGAATAGTATTCGGAATATACAATTCAACTGAAAGGAGCTTCGAAGAAAAAGTTGATCCTATTTACTAATGACTTGTGATAAGAAAAACAATAGAAGAACGTATTGAAAAATCAAACTTTTGTTTCGTACTATGTTTATCATTCAATTATTTTGAATAATAGTAAACTTCAGAGTTTAATCATATCATATTATAATAGAACTATCCAATAGTCAAAACCGATAAATTTATAGAAAGTATTTTTTCAAAAGAAGAATAATAAGTGCAAAGTGTGTGAATGTTAGTGTAAGTAACAGATAAGAATATGATGCACTCATGCCTACGTCCACAAGACTATAGGCACTAATATACGTATATGATTTTTATTTTATTCTGATTGACTTCTTCTGCTTTGTTGATGCTGATACGTTTTTATACTAAAATCTCCTTTTTTCTCTTTGCATAAGGTTTACCAATGTGCATTATTATTAACGATAAATAAAGAAGTCTGAAGAGTTATAAGAATATTTTACCTATGAAACAGTTAATTGTAGTGTTGGAATGACGTTCAAGTTCTAATAGATAAATATGTGTTAATTATTTAGTTTATGTGAGTTAAAAACTGTCAGATGCACCTTATTTCAGATATTTCATACTTAGAAAAGATTTTAAATCGCTATCAAGTGTACATCTTAAAGAGTAAGATGTGCATGACTGTATTTCTCCCACTCCTCACATTCTCATCCATGTTCAATAATTGATTCCGTATGAAAAGTCATATAGAATAAATAATGTGAATATTACTGTAAACTTCTTCGATTTTTATATATGAAATTTTCAAATATTAGAAATATATTGAAGAGATGTTATCAAAATGTTGAATACAGTAAACTATATCATTAATTGATTTATTGTAATCTAGAGTAAAAACTGTACCGTACTTCTACAGAATCTTTCTAATCAAGAAAAACATTGAATTATTCGAAGAATAATTTTATTTATCATAAATAGATAATTGAATAAATAATAGAAAAATAAAATTATCAATAACATAATTTGCCACGATAAAATCCAACTTATTATTATTGTTAAAATCATCTAAGACAATAGAAAATAAATCTGATCCATATCTCATTGAATAAAGAATTACATTTGCAAATGTATCATTGTCATAATCAAGAAGTACGCTCGTCTCATTCGTGGCATAATTAGTGACGGCAATATCAAGAATGGTGTCATTGTTAATATAACCTACAGCTACGAACCGATAAGATGAAGATGGATCAGTTCAATATATTGTTTAATTTGAAAATAAACCATTTCCATATCTAAGAAAACTACCTATATTATTCAAACCAGAATTAATGACAATAATATCTAGTATACTAGGTATTTCATACCTCATCTGTGTAAGATTGTATTGTTCACCTTAATTTTTGTTACTTCTTTTAACTTCATAAGAAATTTGTCTTACTATTAATGATTTATCATCTACAAATTGTTCTTGTAAATTATCTTAAAAAGCTAATAATCGATTTTCTTTTGCCATTCTTAATGAAAAATCTTAATCTAATCCTGAAATATTTTCAACAAAATAATAATTTTTATAAATGATTTCAATTCAGTTATGATTTTTGTGAAGAGTGAATATCCACTTCAAATCATTTTATAGAATAATTCATTATGGTCATTAATATTTTCAAGAAATTCAGGACGATATTTACCAAAACCCTCAGTAATAATTCATTATAGACCCCTATCTATATGAACGATGAAAGCACTTTATTTCATTTTTTAATATATTTTTGTGTAAATTGCTATTTTTTCTGTGAAAAAAGCAATACCAGAAACAAATTGAGTTTGAATCAGCTGGAATGCTTGTACATCTCGAGCTGCTGATTTCTGTGATTGTTTAGAGCAATGAAGATATGATATTACTCGATAATATACTATTCGATCTATGAAGAATTAGTATATCCAAATATATTATATAAATAGTATGTTGACAATAACTGTCTGAAAATATTCAAGGGTGATTGATGTAGAAAAAACTAGACGAATGTACTAGTTGTAATTATAAACAAACTGAACAGAAATAGGGGATTATAGAATTGTATCCTTCGTTTTCTAGGATAATCATTGATGCATATTACAATTGTTTTTTATCTTAACAAAAAAAACTAACCGTTCTAAATAATAAATCGGCAAGGCTATTTTTTCTTCAGTATTTACGTAGAAAATCTAAACGAATTATGAAAACTGAATAAAAATCTAACACAGGTATACTTTTGTATCTGCATTATTTCAATGATCATTGATGCATAAATCACTTTACTTTTAGCTTAACTAAACAGCAGACAAACAATTAGATTGAAGAGTTGTTCAACAAAAACCGTTTTCTAATTATTTATATAATGAATCTAAAAGAATAAGAAAGCATAAATAAAAATCTAGCACATGCATACTTTTGTATTCCAACTACTTCAATAGTCATTGAAGCATATATCACTCGCATCCACACCTTCAAGAATGATGGAACTTTTTAAATAAAAGCTCAACAAAAAAAACAATTTGTTCTCTCTGTCTCTTTTGTAAAATAGATTGATAATACATCTCGCATATTAATAAACTTTACTATTTTCATTACATATATATTATGTCTTAAAATTAACTCAAAAGAATGAATTAAATTATTTGACTATACATGAAAAACTTCAAAGTATTCTTACTGTAGGAAAATCAAATGGATGATTTTGATTAATATTTTGTTATAGATAAATATTTTGTAAATCTATAATCCTATGTAGAATATTTACAAATAGAGAATTTTCTAAGAAAAATCAGTCGAATATTTTGATTTAAAATGTGGTCATTACATCGTTGTCGTTGACTTCAATGTATGTATAATTTATATTAGATAAGTACCGTGTATATAGTAAAATTAAAACTTTATTTAGTAAAATGATTTTGTTACCTGATAATTTAAGACAATAACATATAGTCTTGGATATTAGTAGATCATATTTGATTTACAAGAAAGGATCTATAATAACTCATTTTTTTCCTATTGTGTAGTTTGTTTCTTGCAATTACTGATATTTAAAATATAAGATTTTCTTAAATTTTAAATATCGAAAATAATCAAATCTGGTTTCTCCGTTCTTTATTCTCATGAAACCGGCTATATTGCAATAATAAAACGATCTTATTTACATAGAAGAAGAACAAAAAAAATAAGATGAAGCACCATTGGAATTCTGGTTTAATTAACTAGCCGATGATGTTGATGGTAGTGAAGATGAGATTGTAGGAAATAACGAAGGTGTCGATTGACGAAGACGATGATTAGGTGAAATAAATGAACTGGGAGAAAGAATAATAGATGATGAACTTAAACGATTAGTTGCTGATGATGATGATAAAGGAGACGTTAGACTTTCATCGTCACTTTCTTCATAGTCTGTACGATTAAGTTCTGTTGCTGTGGAGTGTTTACGGTGTAGAGTCTGCAACAAACGAAGACGTATCACCTATAAATAAATAAATAAAAACAAATAGAAATATGTCGTAAATCTTTTTTTTTTTGAAAAAGCAATAATATTATTATTAAGTTATTATTGATTAGCAATGAGCAAATCTCACTCGAATCAACTACTAAGTGTTCATCTTCATCAATAGTATCACTTTTCGCCCATGATATACTCGAACACAATAAACTTGCACGTTTTAAAGGTAATGAAGTACTACGTGTAAGACGTATACGTCTTACCTGTGAAAAAAAATGGATATAATATAGCAGCAATAGAAAAATAAGCTGTATTAATTAAATCAAAATACTTGTTGATTGAAAAGAAAAATTCTTCTATAATATAATTTAATACAAAAGAAAATTTACTATCTTAGAATACAAACCTCATCTTGTAGTTCAAGAAGTTTATCTTCAAGATCTTTATCATCCATTATTTGATCACGTGTTATTAATTCTTGATTCTATATAATAATAATAATAAAAAAGATAAAAAATTTATTTTTATTGATTTACTTGAATTTCTAATTCAGCTATTCTTTGACGTAAATCACCTATTGTCTGAGTACTTTCAGCTTCTCGAATACGTAACATCATTGAATCTTCTTTTTGCTAAACAAAACAAGTTGAAATAAAAATTTATGATCATATATATATATATCTAATTTACTCGTAATTCTCCATCGTACATTTGATGTTTCATTTCATGTAATTGTGAACGTAATTCATTTTCACGTACTCGAGATTCTTCGAATTCAACACGAATACGTTGAATTTCATCATCTTGTCGTTTTATTTGATTATATAAAACTTGTCTTTGTGTGTCAATATCCATTACTTGTTGTTGAAGAAGTTTATTATCACAATCTGTTTGAGCTTCACGCATTTTAAGAGATAATAATTCATGAGCAATTAAATCATATGCATCATTATTTGGATTAGGATCATTTATATGATTTGTTTCACGAATTGTTTTACATGTACTATCATGTAATTGCCATTCACGATTAAGATCAGCTATACGTTGACGAAGTTCATTCATATTAACTTGAGCTTCAGCATCACGCATTTTAACAAGAGTTAATTCTTCTTGTAGAGAAGCTATTTCAATATGTGGAGTAGATTGTAAATTACGATTATCCTATAGACATAAAATTTATATTCTCAAGAAATTAAATAAATAAACTTACTATAGTTAATTTATCGATTGTACCACGTAGAGCTTCTAATTCTTCATCATTTGATGTTACAGTGGAATCTGATGAATTTTGAATATTGTTCTGTGGTATAATCTTATTACTATTCTGACTAATTTTTTCATCGACTTGTTTTTTTAAAGTACAATTTTCACGTTTTAATTGATATGATTCTTCCGCATATTGTGCATTTGATACCTGACCTTCAATTAAACGATTTGCTAATGTTGCACTTTCCTTATAGATTTAATTGAAATTATGTATGATAAATCAATAATAGACTAAATCCTACTTTTTCTAAATTGTCAACTCGTTGTTTTAATAAACGATTTTCATTTCTTAATCTCTAAATATATAACAAAACGAAACATATGACCTACAAGTATATATATATCAAATGAAATTTACATACACGTATTTCAATTTGTTCTTCTTGCTCTTCTTTACGAATAACGGTATATTCTTTTTCTAATCTATTGTTATACAAGATAATATAACAATTGATATATAAATATGTATATATGTCATGTCGAAGTTATTATCGATCAACTGAATATGAAATAAGATATTTTATTTTATCAGATTGATATGAATAGTACTCTGACTTCAAGCGAAGATTTCATCAGATTAAACCTTTCATATTTACCACATCTCAGTACTATCAGTTTAACCAACTATTCTATACCCTGCACTAGTTATGTTTTACACTGATGATGTCTGTACTGTCATCATTAGATAAATACTTGCTTTATCAGTCTTGACATTTTATGTCACAGTGATTATTGGAATCTATTTACTATACCGCAATATTAGTTTTAGTGGAATAGATCTACAATCATGACAAAGTTAAATATCTTATTTCTTGATAAAAATAAGTTTAGACATCTATTATTTAAGGATCAATATTATCGATTTTTTGATAATTATATGTTATTTAGTTAATCTAACATAACTTCATCGATCAATGTAACTTCAACACGACATATACATTTTATATACATACTTTTTCATTTTTTTTCCATTGTATTGCACAGAAAAAGCACGTTGAAATAAAGATTCATGATCATTTTCATGCTTGATAGGTACATCTTTTTGAAAATACTAAATAGAAAAAAAATATATTTAGAATAAAACCTTTTCAAATACATTCCGAGATAATTAACAAGCACTCTATTTTAATGATAAAGAGAAAGTATGAGGTGAGACTATATATATATTTATATACTACTTAATGATTCCTTTATAAATTCGTGAATAAACACATTGAAATTCTTTCTTTCTTTTGTTCTGTTAATAACGATTGTATTCAATTTTTCTTTGTTCTGTTTGAAATCGGTCAGCAACTTACAGATGTAACAGCAGACATTGAACCTTGAACACTTTTAAAAGTCTGTGAACATTGTTCGACTAGCCGATCTTGAACAGCATGTAAACGACGGTCCATATATGTGTAAATTAACGTTGAGTACAAAGTATGAGTATTGATATAGACGTCTACTCTTTCGCTCCTTTTTTTTGTGAGTTATAAATGTCTCCTCTCTCTTTCATTTGGACAGAACAAAAACGAGCACACACATATACACAATCATTGCAGCTGCAATGGTGTCATTTATTCTCTCTTTCTCTTTCTTTTTCTATTCTATTCTTCGACGAACCGAAACATGCACAAATAACTGGATTGGTACACACACACACGCACATATATATATATAATATCTATAATACTCAATCTATATGTAGTCTATTTGATTTTGTTATTCTTCCGGCTCTCGTTTTTTTTGTTGCTTCTTTCGATTCAAAAATAAAATATCACAATGTGAAAGGTGTAAAAAATAAAATCACACATAACAATATAACGAACAGCTGACGTAAAAGTGTATCGTTAACGCCAACGTACTGATTACGTATTCGTATTCGACTTATAGACTCAATGACAATCGTTTGTCGAATGATTATGATATATACATAGATGCATAAATAAACGTGAACATAATACGTACTTTTAGCATATCTTCCATTGATAAAAGCATTAATTCATCTTGATGAATATCAAGTAGTGCAATACCCATACGAAAAATAATCTCTATACCCTATATAATCAAATATTTGATGTATATAAATCTAGATTTTGAAACCGATTTAATCGATTTTTTACTTCACTTAAAAACATATCCATCGTACGACAAGCAACAGTAAATGGAAATTGATTTGTAAATAATGTTAAAAACCAACTGGATGCATACATTGATGTATTAAAACTTTCTTGTTGAAAATGTCGATTAAGATCTGGTAAAAATTCCTAATCAAATAAAACATTTCATAACATGAAATAAATAAAATAAATGACATACTTGAACCATACATTCAAATTGATATATACATAATCCCAAATAAAACATATCTGGTTTATACATATCACGCATTCCAAAATCGTGTAATATAGATACAAGTACAGCAAATGCTTCTTCTTCAGGCATCTGTCAATAAATAAAATCGAATAAAAAAAATCATTTAATTATAAAACTAACATGCATAAGTAAAAGTCCAACAATAAATCCAATCCCTTGACAATAACCAACTTCACGATCATATAATGAGTAAGCCTAGAACAAATGTATTTTTTTGTACAACACAAAATAACTGATTGTATTAGAAAATTCAAACCTTAATCACATTGAATAATCTTTCTTGACCAATACCATGTTTTTCTTTGAAAAGTTCATGTTCGGGATATGTTCGTGAAATATCTCTTCGAATAACTTTTTCACATGGTGATGTCATTTTCATATAATCAGCATATTTTTGTTTAGCATTTGATGAATCAACTTTAGCTAAACATTGCCAAAGTAATGGACGAAAATGAACTGGAACACCGGCTCGAATTGTATCCTATATGAAAAACAAAACAAGATATTTTTAATATCGTTTAATTAAATTTTACTTTAATCCATTGTGGTTTTTTTTTCATATATATTGTCCAATTATTAATTATTCTATTCCAAGTATTCCATTCATTTTCAAGATTACCTATGTACATATATATGATTCATAAATAGTAAGAAAAAAACAAATACATGATTTTATCGAAAATCATACCATCATTATCGACCGTTAAATTGCTCGCATCACTTGAAATTGAATCTTGTCGTATTTGCTTATGATGTAATTCAGGTGATCGTGTGTTTACAATATTATTTTGCGGCGCATTTGCAGGTGATTTTAAATCATATTCGATACGTCTTTATATGAAGAGAAAAACAAATATATTGATTAGAAATTAATTATATTGAAAATATAAATTGAATATTTATTATTTACCTATTCTCTTCCTCAAGTCTTTTCAATAGTTCAAGTTCATCATTTGTCATATTTGTTACATGTAAATTTTGTGAAGTAGATTGTGTCATTCTTTTTTTTAGTTTGATCGAACTCTTTAGACAAAAGCGATGACAAATATAGAAAAAGAATAGAAAGAAATAAAACAAAATGATCGAACATGACAATATATTTAGATAGATGAATAAAACGGACGTTGAAGATGAGTAAATGACATCATCAATACACCTACATAACAATTGAATAAATAACTCAACTTCGGCAGGTTTTTACCTTTCTTTTTTCGCTTACTTTCAGCTGACAAAATCAATTAAATTTATGGACAATGGTATACTTATCTATAGACTATACAAATTTGCCCTTTAAAAGTTTCTTTTTTTGTTCTTTTATAAATTCTCATATATCACTAACACTCTTTTCTTTAAGACATATATATTGATATTCTTTTGTGTCTTATAAGATACAAAAACACTATACAATTAAATAAATTATAAGTAAATACACAATAGTTGTCTATGTTTAAGGTCGTCAGTTCAAAAGAATAATGACAGATATATTACTAATGAGAAAAGTGATTTATAAATCTGTCGTGTATATAAACAAAATAAGTACCTGAAAAAAACAAACATGAAGGGTAATATAATCTATCTAGATTTTAATCGACATATAAATCTATTTGAAACATCTTTACCGTAATGTGTTGGTGACAAATATAACGAAGAAGCGCATAGAAAAAAAAAGAAGAGAAAAAGGCTTACTTGCTTTCACATTTTTTTTCTCTTGAGTCTTTTTTTTCTCTGCTTTTTACCTTCAAACATCGCATTGCATTGCAATCCTTTTCTCTTTTTCTCACCTGTGACGGTCGAGCTAGCGCACGTATCATGGCAATTCTTGACGCATTGTTCGTTCTCGCGTATGTCATGTAAATCAAACAAAAAAAAACACATAGCAAAAGAAATATTTTATATAAATAGATAGGATTCTTTAGGAAGCAAAAGAAGAAAAAAAAACCGAGAGAAATGTTCATTTTATCCTTCCATTATTTCTTCCGGTATTGATTATAAAAACGGAAAGAAAAAATTAATTAATCGATCACTAGGGAAATATACTATCGATCGTTAGAAATAATTCCAAGGTTAATGTTATACATTACTATTTTGAACTTGATAGCAGCAGTAACAGGAATAAAAAATATTGAGAACAATTGTTCATTATACAAATTATAACGATTGAAAATCTTCTGTGTGTTATTTCTTTTCATATATATATATCAATATTTGTTTAGACATTTGTTAACATACCATTCATTTTAAGTATATAAAGAAATAAATATGATCGGAGAATAAAGAAAAAAATACTCGAGGTATTATGTATAATCTTTAAGTAATAGAATCAAAATGAGTTTTTTTTTTCTGTTTCATTAGATCTTATCAACCTTTGCTAGATTATTCTTTATTTAAAACATCTATACAATAAAAAAAAGTAAAATAAAAATTAAATTTTTTGTCCATATGGGCGTAACCAATAAATAATACCAATGAGATTCGCAATGACTATTAACGAATGAATAGGAAATTCAAAACCACAATCAGATGGTATACCAGTTTTAGATTTTTCAGGTAATGTAATACCAATACCACCTTGATGAGTGGCTCGATCAAGTTGTAAATGATGTTTTTTAACAAATTGTCGTGCACGAAATGTTCGAAATACACATGCAATCGAACGACGAAGACCACTGAAAGTAATTAAGAATAAATTAGAAAATAGAGTAATAAATCATCATTACTTTAAACAAGCAAGTAATATAACACTTTCGAAGGTTAAATGAATTCCAGCTAATTGTGTCTTTGTTAAACCAACAATTGATAATGAACTGTAAAGAATCATACCAAGAAAGAGACCCTGAAATATGAAAAAAATCTGCATATTAATCGATTTGTATATGCGTAACGAATTGATGTACTTTATTTTAAGTTCATCCAGTAAATTTATACCAGCGAGAAAAAGTTTTAGCATCTTCTACTTAACTCAAAACTCGATAAACTCTTCTTTTAGAATGATAATCATTTGACTGAGTTTATGAATACAAGATTGAATCTTATTACCTTTACAAATCCGATTATATCATATACAAGACAATGTGTACGGTGTTGACAACATTGTTCAAGTGCTAATATTTCTGTTTGATGTTCGTTTGAAATATTTGTGTCTGATTTTTTGATTGAATCATTTTTACGAATCGATTCAAACATTTCTATATAATCAAATCATTTTTTTTTCAAATAAATAATATTATTTTATTTCCTACTAAATAATTCTTGATTAATTTCTTCTACACATTCACCTTGTAGACCGTGTCCAGCACCATCACATTTAATAAGACGACAACCAAGTACCTAGAATATTAAATTAAAAGAAAAATATTTTTAATTAATTCTAAATAAAACAAAACTTACACGTTGTAACATATAAGAATTTGATTCTCGTACAAGTCGATCTTCAGTACCAACCATAATTAAACATTCAAATGGTGAATAACGAATTTTAAGTAGATCTGCATAACTAATATAATGTCTAACAACAGCAGCTATATGACCTATAAGTCCACTAAGTGATGGTGGAATACGTTTTCGAAATCGTTCAATATGATAATCATAAAACGACTAAATATAAACGAATGATTTTAAAATAAAAATCTTTTTTTTCTCTTCTAACTTTTCGTTTTTCTGGATCGGCAAGTGTTTTTTTACTATAAAGCATTGCCATAACATTTTCTATTACAGCATTCTCATCACGTAATACCATTGATTGTAAGATATGATTAATACCAGAAAATGGAGCTTGTCCAGAAAGACCACCAGCATGTGTTGCTAATAATGTTAAAGAAAGAATTCGTTTTGGTGCTAATAATGCAAATTCAAGTGCAATCATTCCACCCATTGATATACCAACAACATGACATTGTTTCCATTGTAGATGATCAATAAGTGCAAGTGCATCCTTTGCCATTTGATTTGTAGTATAATATGGAAATAATGGAGCAGATGAACGACCGCATCCACGATTATCATATGTTACACACTAATGAAAAAGAAGAATATACAGAGCTAAATTTTGAACTAAATTTTATTACATACTTGATAATCAGATTTCGGAGCAAAAAATTCAATCTAAAAGAAAAATTTTAAATACAGTATTGAATAAGTTTATATTTTACCTGACGGGACCAAGCAGCACCTTCGGTTAATAAACCCATGATAAGTAATATTTTATTCTCACCTGAACCATGTATTTCATAGTATAATTGTAAATTTTGATTAACCGCTGATAAGTTTAAATGAGGCATCTTCTATACAGATAATGGACTTTGATTTAGAGTGAGTAGATATATACATATACATACATATAAATGAACAAGCAATATTATTGGATAATATGAACGTCCATTGAAATTTTTTAACGAAAGTAGCGCTAAAAGAAAAGATAATAATCGCAACTGTTTTTTTTCAATACTTAAGAAAATTTATGAAAAAAAATATCACTGAATTAAATTATATTTCCATTGTAATAAAAATCACATTAAATCAGTATATACTCTCATAATACTAAAGTAGAGTGAGGATGATAGTCACTGAAGTAATTAATTGCTATTCATAAATTGAATAATTCCTTGACTACAAGAAGAGTTATATGAAGTAAAAAGTCGTTTGTTTATAGGGCTTACACGCGATCCAGAAAAATATAAAAGTGAACGATTGACTCCCTTTGAATCTATTTCTCTTGCGTATTTTATTTTCAACAAAAATAATACTATTATATAGATAAATTGTAAAGTATTCGCATCATATACGACATCGAATAGCCAGACCACAAGGATGCTGACGATTAACTTAAAATGATTTTTTTGTGCCTCAATTCTTCTGCATGATAATATTATCAGTCCTCTGTGTTCATTTGTTTATTTAACATAAAATGGTTTTTGTCAGTTTTAAAGATTGTTGCATAGAAAACAAATGGAAACATGTTTACTGAACATGTACGTTGAACAATTTGCTAATTCGTAAACCTTTTTTTTTTTCTTGCGTTCTCTCTTTCATGATATTTGATGAATAGTCGAAACATAATTTAATCAAAAGAAACTATAACATGCGAAGATAAATGCTATTTTCTTTTTCTCTTTCCATTCAATGATTCTAATTTCAATCTTATGAAAGCAGTTATATCAACTTAAGTAATATTCACTTCGCTTGTAACTACGTATTTTTTGTTATTGTTGTCCTACTCGTTTTGCATATAGTATAATCATGAAAGTATGTTGTTCATCATGTGTTCAACAAATAATATATAGCATTTATTTTTGCCATGATTAAATATTAAACTAAAGAACTGAAAAAAAAGAAAATAGTAATAGAAGTTGTTTAAACAATTTTAAGGAGAATGTTTAGCGCATGAAGTAGTGAAACATGTTTTGGATATTTTTGTTTGTACTGATATTTTCTTCTTGTGATTGTATTCTTATTGGTAAAATAGAGAATAATATAGTGATTGGTAACGCATACAAATCATTGTGGAATATAACTGAAAATCAATGTATTTGTAAAATGATAAAATCAAAAGACATAATATTTGCATTAAATTATTTTTCAATAAATCAAACTTGCCAATTATTTTACTCAAATATTAGTTCGATCTTAATTGAATTTAATTTCAATTCTACATTGATATTTATTAATCAATCAATAATCTCAATGAAATATAGTAAGTTTATTATAAATACTATAAATTTATCATAGTTTTGTTTTCAACAATTGTAATATAGATATAACTATAATTGAACATTGTAGAAAAGAGAGGATTCGTCAGCTATCTGAACTGATATAAATTAATCGCAATGTATTAATAACTAAACATATTGCTAGTAGAAGAAGATATGCCCAGTTTTATACAAATCTTTGTCTGATTTTTCGATCTCTTTTTAATCTCATTCTTTCAATATAGATCAGATCATGTCTACATCACCAACAACATCATCGTCATCAACCACTACAACAGGAATACCAGGTCAGTAATATACTAGTTGATATGTAGTTTGCTAAGCAATCCATCTTTCAGATAGCTATGTCTAGAAGTTTTGGTTATATCTGTCGAATAGTCTTTATTTAGATATATAGTGTCAGAGAGCACATTTTATGACCATCTCGTGGGTGTGTGGAATGAATGGAATACCCATGCGCACACCCACTCCCTCAAGATGCAACAACTCCATTAGACTTTAGGTCTTCAGTACAAAAAAAAATATTCTTGCTGTTTGATTCTGATAACACATTAAAAGCGCTTCAATGAAACAGACATTAAAACAAAAGTTGATTATTAGCTGAGTTACAGGCATATTTCACAGTCAAAAAGATAACATACTTTTCATTGATTCGTTAAAACTCAAACACTAGTAACCTTCTTATCTATTTTAAATGAATTTAAAGTTTCAACAACATGGATCTTATTCTATCCAAAAGCACAGAGAAAACTTTATTAAAGTCCTGAGATCATTTAGTTTATGATTAGCGCATGGACACATATGTATATAACTGATTTAAAATTATTTCAAGAATAATATTATTTTTTTTTGTCACTTGTGTACCTTATCTAGGATGGACAACTACAGGAAACATGGCTGTTGCACGACAATATCATACAGCATCCATATTAGGAAACGGAAAGGTATTAGTTACTGGTGGATCTAATGGCAGTAATAGTCTTAATAGTGCTGAATTATATGACCCAACAACAGGTATTTGGACAACTACAGGATACATGAATGTTGCACGACAATACCATACAGCATCTATATTAGGAAATGGAATAATATTAGTTACTGGTGGAAATAATGGTAGTATTTATCTCTACAGTGCTGAATTATATGATCCAACAACAGGTATTTGGACAACTACAGGAAACATGAATTATGCACGAATCTTTCATACAGCATTCTTATTAGAAAATGGAAATGTATTAGTTACTGGTGGATTTGGTCGTATTTATCTCAGTAGTGCTGAATTATATGATCCAACAACAGGTAATTGGACAAGTACAGGAAACATGAATTTTGCACGAGAATATCATACAGCAGCCATATTAAGAAATGGAATAGTATTAGTTACTGGTGGATATTATAAAAGTGCTCTCAATAGTGCTGAATTATATAATTCAACAACAGGTATTTGGACAATTACAGGAAAGATGACTTTTGCGCGACAATTTCATACAGCATCCATATTAGAAAATGGAAATGTATTAGTTACTGGCGGTTCTGGTAGTTCTTATCTCAGTAGTGCTGAATTATATGATCCAATAACAAGTAGTTGGACAATTACAGGAAACATGAATGTTGCACGAGAAAATCACACAGCATCCATATTAGGAAATGGGACAGTGTTAGTTACTGGTGGATCTGGTAGTTCTTATCTCAGTAGTGCTGAATTATATGATCCAACAACAGGTAGTTGGACAAGTACAAGAAACATGAATTTTGCACGAGAATATCATACAGCATCCATATTAGCAAATGGAAAAGTATTAGTTACTGGCGGATATAATGGCAGTAATAGTCTTAATAGTGCTGAACTGTATTGATCGAAATCGATCGAATAATATCTTCTTTTGTAGACAGAATCATAAATTTTAATGTTGTAAGCAAACTATTTAATCTTGAATGCTTTTATAAAACTATTATTAACTAAATAAAATTTAAGTCTCAATTATATCATGAAATACGATTTGAATGGTGATTGTCAAGAAAGAAACACTTCATAAAGTAAATATGAATATAGATGTGTCAGATATTTTCATGGTTATTCTGTTTCTCGTAGAGAAGAGTCCAGTAAACATAAATTGTCTGCTTGCTTGTCTGTCCGCAGGGTCAGAAAAACATCGATTTTCGAGAAAAGACACTTCTAAAGGTTTTTCGATGCGGGGAGTTCGAATCTGAAGTCTATTAGATGATCATGATGAGAAGGGATCAAGAGGGGCAAAGGTAAAAAAACGTCAAAAATGGATTTTTCACGATTTTCAATTGCTTTTCCAGTAAATGCGATGAAAATGCATTTATACGAGAAAGAGCTAAGCGAGTCCTCGGACGAGCGTTAGTTGTGTATATAGAAGAAAGACAATAGCAGTATATATTGAGATAGACAATAGTCTTATATTATAATAACGTCATTCTCTTCTTTTATAATTATCATTCTCGCTAGTATCGTTTGCTTATAATCACGTGTTTAATGCTTTCATCCAGTCTTTGATTTGTTTTTCGATTAAACGCACTACACTAGTAATTTAAATAACAATAAAATATCGAAAGAAATGAAAAGATGTAGAGTGATTGAAAAATATTGATTTAACAAATATCAACATGATTAAATAGCTATTTGATTTCTGGGGAAGAAAGAAAAAAAATTATTCTAAAATAGTTTCGTAAAACATGAAGTTGTGTTAGCAAAAAAAATCATTTAAAAACTAGTGCTTCTATGAATGCATAATGATCTTGTGAAAAGGAATATAAACTCGTTCTGGACATTGAGGGTGTAGGTATCATATTTATATCGTATCCACACCCGTCTTCAATACGGACTAAGATTTTTTTCAGGCAGAATTGGAATTCAAATTTTGCCTACAACATATATCTATATTGCTGATGTCACAATATCGTATATACCGATATTTTTTGAATAATTTAGGAATTAGATTAATAAGAAAATTAAAAATTAATTCATGATATTTCCTACTTTGATAGTTTATAACTATATATAGGACAGTTCATCTTCAATCCGTGAATTCATCAGACCATTGTTTAATTCGATCTATTTCAAATATGTGATTATTGCAATGTATTTCACTCAACCTTCGGATGACACGTTTTCCTTCCAATTAAACTCAATTTTATTGATAGATCTTTCTAGAATCCATCATCTTAATTCTATTTATATCTAACTAAATTTTTAAATTGGATTCAAGTCATAGTTTTCAAATTAACTCATTCGGTCGTAATCGAATGAAGTAGACATTTATGAAAAAGTCATCTAGAAAAACATCAGAAAACATATTCAAAACCCTGATTTTTCTGAATTTCTGTTTCAAAAATGTATAGTCGCTAAATTTGATAGACATTTTTAATTTAATTTGAATTGAAGCAAAGCTATAAGTATAGAAAATCCTTATCTATCCAAATAATAGATCTGTGAGTTGAATTAAGTTGCTAAGCTTTGCCTTCAAGGAAGTGTTTACATGGTACTACTATGTCGTATAGCACATATTCTATCTTTGAATGACTATCATAGATCATTCATCTGACGTCAAACTGGACATGAATACAAAAGACATCTCATCTGTTTTGAAGAATATGTTTATCTATTATGAATTGCATCTACTCTATATAAATTTATCATAATAGAAGTAATATTTGCATAGTTAGTTCCATTAAATTGAAAAAAATTATTTTTAAACTAACAAAGATAGATGTACCCATCTCTTTTTCTATACGTATAGGATAAAGTCGTTAAATAAATATATTTTTCTAATTGACATATTTCAAGAACTTATCTACAAAAGGCACTAAACGGGTAATATATTGCGAAGAATAAATTACTCACAAATTTATATTAGATGTGTTCAAAGAAGCTTAGTTAATGTTTTTTTCAAAGGTTTTTCATACACAAATACACATGACAAGATAGAAAAGAAATAATTAAATAGGTCTCGACGTGTTTCATTTTCTTTGAAAAAATTCTTTTAATTTTATTGATGAAATAGGAATCTACAATATTTCTCTACCAGAAAAAGTAGAACACAAGAAAAGATAAAACATCATTTCTCTCTACATTTTCTATACTATATATACTACAGCAAAAGAAACGATGAGAAGATCATTTATCAATTTAAGTAAATGCGTATTTATTTATATTAAAAATTGCCTACGTTGTTATTTAGAGGAAAAGCAAAGTATCCATTCGCTGCTTATTTTCTGAGAATTTAGTAGTTATCTCACTGCTAGTTTTAGTAAAGTTAAGAATAATATTTTCCTACATCAAGACGAAAATACTTTATCATCGGATTCGATCAGGTATAGTCATATTTTAATAGTGGTATAGTTCGTATTCTGTAGGATAAAGTCCTACAATCGATAGATTTACTAATAAATCCAAGAAAACTAAAGTTTTTGGTATAATCCATGCTCAGTTTTATTTAATTAAACTTCAATATTATTTTATTACTAAAAAATATTTTCATCGATCTTGAAGAATATTCTTTTCCTCGTAGAGAATAGTCCAGTAAACATAAATTGTCTGATTGATTGCTTGTGTGTCCGCAGGGTCAAAAAACATCGACAGCCTATTTTCTACGGTTTTCAATTGTTTTTCCAGTAAATGTGAATAAGATGCATTTTTATGAGAAAGAGTTAAGCGAGTCCTCGGACGAGTGTTACTTGTTTTAATAATGTTGTTATCAGGTAATATTGAAACACTTACTAAACCTAATATCTTGATCTGTTTTCTTTTGAATTAGATTATTCTTAGCATATTACAAATATTATACAATGGTCGATGTTGAATTGATCTTTGCAATCGTCAAAATTATTTTAAGTGGAATTAGTGCTCTCATTGCATTGTTATATTGTATCCCAATTATATTTTTACGTCGATTTCATGATACTTTCAATCTTCTTGTATTGAATCTTTGTTCTGGTGTATTCTTTGCTACGGGTTATTATGTAGGGTATTTTACTGTGTATCATTTTTATCTTTACTTTTTTTGGACTCAGCCATTTTGCAATTTTCTCTATTGCATACTATTTATTGCGGTTTCTGAAATACCATTTGGATTGCTCACATTGAGTCTTAGTCGATACTGTACAATAGTACATCATACAAAAGGATTTTTCAAAACAAAAATCTTTTTGGCATTATGTTTGGTATCTCAACGTATAATTGAATGTTTACTATTATTACCATTTGCATTACCTATTGGAGCGGTAAGAATTTTTTTGAATTATACATGCAAGAAATATCTTTATATTAAGTATTAAGAATTTTTCAACATTGAAAGATTTTGTTTATTTTTAGTATTGTAGTATCCCGAAATGGTCGTTTGGATATTTGTTAGTTTCAATTATATTGCTACCAGGATTGATTACACTTTTGTTAAATCTTGCGATATTTAAATACGTCCACTCATCATCTCGTCGAATTCAACCAATAAATAATACGAATCAAATACCTGTGGCTAGTATTCAAGTTCCAAAACTAACTCGACGTGATATGAATTTACTGCGACAAACGATCATTATTTGGGGTATAGTTTTTATTGGATGCGTTCCAAGTTTTGCTCTTATAGCTATCGATTACCAAGGCAATGTGCCACGATTGGTTTATTCACTCTTGGAAATATGGGATAACTTGACCGTATTTGCCGCATTGATAAATTTATTCTTATATAACAGTGAAGTTAGAATATACATCAAAAATAAATTGATTGGTATTTTCAATTTTATATAATGAACACTAACTCAAATACTACAGACATATTATATTTTGTTGTTGTTGTTTGTAATTATTTTAAACAAGAAATCTAGTCTTTATCGTTTTACCTAATAAATATCTAATTATAGCATTGAAAAAGTATATGAAATATTGTTTTTGTTATATAATTAAATACTAGAGATTTCTTAAATAATTAATCCATCAACTTATCATTAGATAGTATCATCGTCATGTTATCTACACACACAGAAAACTAGATTTTTTGTCTCGTAATAGAGAAAATCAAACTATTTTCTTGTATTGTTTATTCAATGGGAGGGTTTACAGGGTAGTAAGTACGAGTATGACAAAAAGATAGAAACAATTCTACGCGTATTCTATAAGTCTTTTATGAGGCCAAAGATTAACCTATTTTCTTTAGGTTTCTAGTTTGATATGTGCATATTTTCTAACATGCTGCTTTTGTTGCAATAAATGTTATCAAATTAAAATATGCTAAATTGTTTACATTAAGAGTCCTAACAAACAACACTTTTATTGTACCGAGTTTCTCTTGATTAATAAAAATAAAAGAACAAAATGAATATAATTTCGAAACTAATATTCATTTTGCATTCTATAGAATTAAATCAAAAGTTTTCTTTATACTTAGAATATTCGATGGAATCTAAAGACCAACTAAGGAGACACATTATTTCTATCATTCATATCATCAATGAATATCTTCATTGATCACTAATCTCTCATAAATCGATCTCCACTAAAGCCCATCGGGTCCACGTTTTTTTGGACCCGATTTCGACGAGCACTAGTCTGAACTCGAACTGTACCTTTAGAAAAATTTTTAGTCTTAACTATCCAAAAACCAAAACTAAGTAGCAAAAAAGAAAGGTCTTTGATTTAGTTTTCTGAAAACCTATCAACCAGTTTTCAAATCCAAAATGGCATTCTCATGTTCACCGAGCAGTATAAAAATATCATGTCGATAATATATTTCTTTTTATCCGGACCCGGTCATAAAAAGCTTCGAGACCCGGACCCGGACCCAGTAAAAACAAATTTTTAAGACCCGGACCCGATGGGCTCTAATCTCCACCATCTAAAATATGTAACATTATATAGTAAAGAAACATTTTTTGTTTATTTCAATAAAAGTAAATTATGAGAGAGCGATCTATTCTTTCAAGAACATTCTTTATGTTATTTCTTTCTTTATAACTTTTAGAAATATTTCCATCAAAGTCATACATTTTGCAATCAATAAAAATGGATACGTTAGTAGGCAAGAAAGAGAGACAGAGAAATATATGAGACTCTTTCAATATTGGAAAAATGTTATAGAGTTAGAACTACATTTTACTTCTATTTTTTCAAGAAATTCTCAAAAGAAATCATTTTAAAATAAAAAATCGAGCAACAAAGAATAAATTTTTGTTGTATCATAGAGTATTTTCTCGAATATTCTACTTTGAAAAAGGATATTCAAAATGTACTACTTGTGCATGTTTTCAATTACGGATATAATAAACATTTTATTATATCAGTAAAGTGGAAACAAAATGAAAGACTTGATAAATTATTATAAGAATTAATCAAGTAAAAGAAAGTATATGAATATCATTATAATAAACTTTTCATATTCAAATACAATAGTAATTAAAATAAATGAAATGCGATTTTTTATTTAAAATATACAAAAAAAGTTTTCTAAGAATTTGAAAATTTAATATAAATTATCTAATTGTTTCAATATTGAATAGGCTTTTTCTTAATCTTTTTCCAATATCATAATATATCTGATGATTATTCAGAATCAATAACACTATTCCAATATGTAACATTCACTTCAAATAGATAAATGTTGTTTCTTTTTTTTTTAATTTCTTCGTAATATTTGTAGCCATTTTATTAATAAATAGAAATAGTGTATTTTTTCAAATAAATTACTTTGTGAACCGATATTTAACTTCATGAACTAGTTTACTTTCTCTCTTTCTTCAAATAGTGTTATAATGAGAAATCTTTTCAGGTATATCTAATTAAATAATAGTTTTTTCTATTTCTTTCTCATCATTTTACTCAAAAATTGTTTCTATTTGATATTTAATTTTGTTCTAATAACGTTAGAAGAATAAGTGAATGATTATTCGAAAGAGATTGATAATATATTAATTGATTAAAGATGTTCTTATATTTTCTATTCTTCGATTGTTAAAATCAAAAGTTGTAATATGTATTTGTTCGCATTTGTGAATTTTGATGTGGCACGATGGGTGTATATCAAATTTTTTATCATATAAATGAACACAATGACACATTGAAAATGTCTATGTTGATTGACATTATTCATTTAATAGTTTATATTAATTTCTTTTCTATCAAAATGTTCAAGAAAATGATTCAAATTTTTTAGTATTTTTCTTCCCAGCTGGTCCCATATGAAATTTAATGATTGCCACAATATATAATGTTAAATCCATTTCTTTTGTTTCATTGTTGTTTATAGATAAATCCGTTCTTTTTTGTGGCTTAGGTAATCTCAAAAACTCGTCAACTTTGAAATTAATTTTAGCTTTACCATTTTAATCTCCAGTTTTAGAGTACATTGCAACTAAATTCCTACCATGTTGTACATGAGTATTTTACTTCATTTATCATTCTTCCGTTCCACAAAAAAAGGTGAAGATGCACTAGTATGTATTATTCATCATATGTTATTAAAACATTTTATCCATAACGATTTGTCTGCAAACTGAGCTACCATAATTGTGTCCGAAACATCTTCTTTGATGCATGTTTCAAGAATACTACAGTATGACGATTTACAGTTTATCATGCGTATTTACTTTATTGTGTATTTTGGAAGTTGGAAAAAACCAACTGATAAGGGTTAATAAAGTAAATGATTTTCTATTTGTCTAAACTTTTTTCTGTGAAATGAACGATGTTAGATGAGTTTTTCTTGCATACAGCGCTATCTGTTCTATCAGCCATTTTATAATACTTATATTGACGTGGATAATGCAGTATGGAAAACGATTATGTGTGCATTGCATAGTTTATCAATTAGAGTATTGAGTTCTTTAACTTAAGCTGATGCTTGAGATTGTTTGTTAAAAAAGGCAATTTTTACCGCATGACTTTGCTTTCTCATAGTATGAGAAATAAAAAATACTAATTATCTTTTCTTTTATATTGTCAGCTCCACTTCATAGTCAATCAGTATTACTATACTGTTTCCACAAGAAATTATTAGAGAGAAATAAGTTCTTGTGACGTACAATCAGTAGAAAGCGTGCGCATTGTCAGGAGTTTTTGGTGCTTAAATGAAACAAACATCAAGTGTTTCTATATTCTTTTTTCTTTCTAATTTTTCTATAATTTTTTCTCGCATCGTATAAAGCAAGCTGGCCGGCGAGATATTTGCATAAATAACTCTATTGTTGGCAACTCCGTCAGTTCGATAAGTATATAAGCATTTCTATTCTTACATCAAGTTGTGATTTTGTTTCTTACAAACAGATCAATCAAGTGAAACTCAACACCCATGTCGTTTTCGTTAAAGGCCCAGGCTCGTTGGTGTATGTTGATATTAGTATTCCTATGTTCCACCAAAGGTAAGAATTATTGTGTGCTATCTATCGAACATGATATCGACTTTCTCAAGCATTTCTGACAAATTGAGCGCTCGATAAGAGCTGCAGAAATATAAATTGTCTCCTGTATGATTACGCGCACTTCGAATATATTTTCCAGTTACAATTTCATCCTCAAATAATGATTATTGACGCTTGAGGGTGTGGGTGCGAAGCTAAAAGTAAACTGATACCCATACCGACATCCACACCCACATCATTTGCACTATCGGCTTCATCGAAGTTATTTATTTCATTTCTCTCATTCCAATTACCAGTATGTAACAAGATACAATCTGACAATAGCATTTTTAGACATACTTTCACTTCTCTCTGATATTCTTATGAGTTTTCATTTAGGCAATATTCGTTCAAAACATAGTACGATTACTCGAAATGCTGACTATCAAGTTAGCAACCAGGCACTCAAGATCTATGATGTTGATGGCGTGTCAACTCTTATTCAATGTGCTGCGCAATGTATGAACAATGATATTTGTTTGACAGCGTCGTATACCAAGCTTCAAGAACGATGCTCTCTCTATTCCGAATTATCAACAATGGGAATCATAGCACCCTCTTCAGCTGACTCTACAGTTATCTCCTTTCCAAATACAGGTAAGATGAGCTAATTAGAAGAAATGAGTCGTTTTACGCTGTGTTTCCTTATAATTAAATTCTACGGTCACTATAGATCTTACTAGAATGCTATTTTGATTTTAAGATTATGTATGAAAGGCATAATATAATACGAAATTCAACATAAAACATTTAGATTTTGGTCCTCTTCTTGATTTACTGCAATCATTTAAATAAATATTCCAATTTCCTTAAAAAGATCCACGTACTATAGTGAGAAAAAGGAAAATTATTAGATTTATTTTTTCACATATCTTTGAGAGGATCAGGAATAGAATCTGAACAAAATTAAAATTCGTAAAAACAATTCGAAAGATAAATAAATTCGCTCAGTTTTTGGTGCTTACTCCATATATTATATTTGTTTGAAGTTAAATCGGAACTGTTTTGGTCCAAAGTCATCGAAGATTACTGCGAACTCCAGTCGATACACTTCCCTTCGTTTATTTTTGTTTCTGTTATCAGACTTTTTTTATGTACTAATCTACTATATATAGGAAGAAAGTTCAGAACACGTTGCATCTTGTGATATATTTACGTCGAACAACACATACAGTTTGAAATATGTGTAATGAACTAAAAAAATGTGATATTTTTTCCACTGCAATATATACATCAATTTTTTGAAAAAACTTAGTTAAACACTCTGGAAAAGCTTGTCAAAAAATCTGAAATATACGACTCGATGTGAATTCATCTACTCTTTCGAACAGTGAAAACCATAGATCG